AGGCTCAGCCCATGGACGGTGTGAGGCCGGTAACGGCCCCCGTCTTGGTCGGCGTCCAACTTCTGAGAGGGACAAGTAGCGTTCAGCCACACGAGATTGAGCAATAACAGGTCTGTGATGCCCTTAGATGTCCGGGGCTGCACGCGCGCCACACTGAGTGGATCAGCGTGTGTCTACCCTTCAAACTAGTGAAGGGTAGACTAGGCAAACTACTTAACGTTGGCTGATGACAGCCCGTGAACAGAGGTTTCATAGAGTTGTATCATACTTTGTTATACAATATACATTATTATTGACTGAGGGTAAATTACAACATTATCATGATTTTGTTTAAATGTAGTCTTGTAAAATGTAATTTAATATAGATGAGGGGATCATGTTGGTGTTTAACTACCTAACATAAAAAAATCACTTTAAGCGTCTTTGAGCATTAGGAAAAACGCTATAAAAAAATCCCATTTATTATTATTATTAAAGATATAAATGTGTTGGAGTATGTAACAGAAGTTAACAAAGGAGTCCAATGGAGTTTCAGGCAGGGGGGAGTATGTGGGAGAGAAACTCCCTTTGGAGGGAACTTTGGTATTTTAGCCTTTGCAGACCCTTTACATGCACAAAAACCTATATAACACACTACAGGAAAGGGAAAATGCCAAAGAGAATAATATTGCCTCTTTAAATAGCAAATAGTGGCTGTGTATTTAGCTAGCTAATCCTTACAGACTGCTTAATTAACCAAATACAATGAACGTTGACTTATTTTCTACAGTATAGTTGTACATTTAACAAATACTGAAGAAAAAACCTTAATACATATTTTTTATAGCGTTGTTATATTTATTAGTAGTTGCTGTTAATCACAGCCCCCACAATTGTGTTACGTAGCCAAAATAGTGGTCCATAAGTGCAAAAGGTGTCCGCTATGAGTGTTCCATCTGGGTACTAATAGTGCATTTTATACTTCTCATCATGAAACACTAATACACTCAAAAGAAGAAAAAGGAATTCTAGAAGTATGCACATTGAGTCACAACACTACACTGACGTTAACAAACTGACTGTTAATTAAGGGGTGATTTCAGAGAAAGGGGGGTTTATCAATTTAACATGGAAAATATAGATTAATATCTGCCACAAAGACAAGTCATGTCTGCCTTTTGGTGGTTTTCCACCAGCTGTGGTCTTTCTATTATTGATGAGTGTACAGTCACTGCATTCAAATCAGGCTGACAGACAGGACTGGACTAGCAGACCTTCAGGCACACACACCATGCTCTCCATCACATAACATGTATTCTCAGACCCATTCTAACAGAGTGTATTTTAAGCAGGTAAACATACCAAGGTTAAAGCAGTGTTTTCTAGTCATTGCTTGTTTTCAGCACATTTATTACAAATGACATATTTAACATCACTGCCAAATATCAATGTGATTTTGTTCCAACTGAGCTGTGACTGTGGAGTATTAGTTCTTCTAATTTACTCTAGCATAACTCATGAATTAATTTTTCAAAACATTAAGCTCTAAGCTCTGAACAATTAGTGTGTTGTTCAGAGCAGATTTGCATCTCTCATTCATTCAAGCAAATAGCACGTTTTGGCACATGTGTAAACAGTTTGAAAATGGCAACATTAACCACCTTCACATAGCTTGCTGATCAAATTGTCATTTACTATTAAGGAATATTTAATCGTTTGAGCAATGACAAGCACACACATTTTGTCTTTTATATAGTACAACATGCAACACATTGCTACACAAGTAAATGTACTCTATTCCTAGAAATGTGTATAATCTTATGTAATGTATGTCAACTTTGACCTACTGTTTGAAATGGGAATTTAAAAGCAATAGCATTCATTGAGACAACATTTGTTTTTTACAGTAAGCAGTCAGTGTAGAGTAAAAGGGAACAAACTGACATTTTTTTCAGAACAACTGTGGCGGCTCAATTTCCAGTTCAGTTTGGGTCGACGAGAGGGTCAGTGTATGTTTTGGTCATTGGATTTTCTTTTCTCAAAATGATATTCAAAAACTAAAAACGACTGGATATTTAATTTTTGTTTTAAAATTGAAAAAATAAAATTGAAATACAAGGCATTTTTCTTTATCATAGTCAAGAAGGGATTAACTCAACTTAAAAAACGGGATGATTTTCATTTTCTACTTCTCAAAACAAAAAATAAAGCCACTAGTGAACTGAAACGAAAAAAAAAGAGAGCGCAGATCAGTACGGTCCTGTGTCGGCCGTGATTCGGGGTTCCGTGGTCAAATCAGCCCGCGATAAAACAATATATTTAACCCTCCGTTATCAATCTAGCCATTTTTGTCCAAATGGGTCATTTTTTACTTTTAATTTGCCAATAACTTTGATTAATAACACAACCAAAGTTATTGGCAAATGGCATGATTTTTTTGTAACTAGGCTATTTTCTCGATATATTTTAGAATCCCAATGTTTCTAATGGGTCTATAATTCACTGTGTACAACACATGGTACAACATTGACTGCCCTAATTGACCATTCGGGACAAAAATCGCTCATCAAACTTAGCAGAAGTGGATTTTGTTCTCAGTAGGGGACTTTGACAAGAGTATTCCTTACAAATTAAACAGTAAAAGTACTTCATTGTATTGCTAGTAGGCGTACTACTACTGAGTCCAACAGTATCAATTTCCTTAAAAAAACTAATGGTAAAAAAAACGTTTATCACTCATCAAAGCGTCAGTGCCGCTTCACAGCGATTACCGTAAATTAAGAGCTGCTGATTTGAACAAGCAAACGCGAGAGACTGCTGAGTTGACCGCAGTGTTTCACGGCCGACACAGGACCGAACTGATCTGCGCTCTTATTTTGTAAACAGCTACTTCCGGTAGCAGAGTATGAAACAACGGGCGTTTTTTCGTTTCTGTTTTCAAGTGATTTTATTATTTGTTTTGAGAGGTAGAACATGAAAATCATCCCGTTTTTTAAGTTTAATTAATAACTTTTTGGACCATGATAAAGAACAAAGCCTTGTATTTCAAGTTTATTTCTTCAATTTTAAAACAAAAATCAAATATCCACTCGTATTTTGTTTTTTTAATATCATTTTGTGAAAAGAAAATCCAATCACCAAAACATACACTGACATACACTTGGCTATAAGCGGCGACGCGTTTTCAATTATTTGGTCCATACTGAAGTAAGGTAGTTTGACGATATTTATTATACAAAATAAAAACAAAAACGGTCAACAGAAAAAATGACGGCACAAGCTCACCCTCTGTCACCCGCACTCAACATGAAACAGGTGACCTATATACAAAAACCACACCCATGTGACAATTCCCGGAAGTGCTCAACAAACAAATAAAAGTGACGTAAACAAATAATAATAATACAAATAATGAACTCAGGCTAAGTAGCATTTGGCACCTACAACAACATTTAAAAGGTTGGCTGTTGTAGTCAAAATTGTTTTAATAACAGTAACAGTGTGGTAGTGCAGGTCACAACTTTACATTTTGGTAGATATGGCCAATTGAATTACACAATCAGTGGATTTTGAATCATGAAATGTTTCAAAGGCAGGCAGGCAGACCAAATTGTGAAATGTGTGGAAACAAGTATAAACCATAGACTGTATATATAAAGGTATAAACACAATAACATTAAATACAAATGAAAGCAATAGACAGGAATATATGAATATACAGTAGAAAGGAAACGATGAATATTATAACATTTAATGTAGCCTTACTATGAAGGCTAACCTAAATACGGTGCTTTTCTACAGATTACTTTATTACTGCACTGGTAAGGTAAAATTAGGCCGATTAATAAGCTGTGAAGTGCTTTGTAACTTCGACCCGCTTGACTGAATACACAACAAACAATGAAGAAATAATTTTATCTGGGCTGCTTCGCTGCCAGCTGCTCCCCCGGGACCCGAAAGGGGCGTATAGCCTGCACTTCAACATCAACGAAAGTGCTCGATATATGCTATATTGAACCAATAAACTAACACAAACTAACTGTATCACTATAACATGATGATGATAAAGATAAAGAATGTATCTAACGTTCCGCTGTTCATTATAATAAAAAAACAGAGCATTAAACAAACCATCATGCTCTTACTTTGAAATCATGCGGAAATGTCGTCATCAGCAGGCCATCACGTGACACGAGTAGATTTTAGCCGAGACCGGCGGAAAATATGTCTCAAAATTCCGTGTGTGTAAAAAGACGATCTACAAGCAGAAATGTGAGATCCACGAGCGCATTTTTGGTCCACAAATACAAAATGGATTCACAAATGCCTGATCGAAAGGTGTAAATGTTAAAGAGATATTCACAGATCTTTTTTTTATTTGTGAAAATATTTAGCGTATTTGCAGATCCATTTTACACTTGCACATTTATTTGTGAGTTTGCAAATCTTTTAAATGCATTTGTGGATGTTGTTTTACATTTACATATCACATATTTACACACACATTATTTTTATGTTCACACAAATAATTATGAGACATATCTATACAAAGGATCAGCTGCATGACCCGCCATCAAGTGCTTCATCCAAAAGGACAGGAGGATGGACTTTGTGTTTCAGTGATTTGATCATCAAAGGTAGGCCTAAGTCATTTTCAATGTGGGCCGCCGTGCCGACTTAATTCATTTGTAATTGTTACTTGGCTGTGGGTGCCCTGTCATGATAGGTGTTCATATAAATGGTGTTGTTCTGTGTGGAATGATGCGCTTTGCACCCCGGGCTGCTGTTTTGATATTCCGCTGAAGTATACGCTGTGACGTAATAACTTTTTTCGAAGGAAGGGGGGTCAGAGGGCCTAGGTATAAAAGTCACGGCTCGCCACTGGCTTTTGCAGACATGCAATACAGTTGTGATGTCCCAAAGACTACAGAAAAGGTATCCACTGTGAGGGAGGCAGGATAACTTTTAAAAGCGGTTACTTTATCGTTGCCCTCCCCTTCCTCTCTGCCTCCCATGTGCAGGCGTACTGTTGAGGCCGGCCAGACCAGGAGGAGCAGGAAGGAGCTGCTTTTTCCGAGAGAGGATCAAAGACGGAGAGAGAGAGCGATAGTGTGGCTGAACATCCCTCAGCATGAAGAAAAGCAGGAGTGCACAGGGGGTTACACCAAGCGATGTGAGTATTGATTCCCCCAACCGTCCATCTGAGCGAACATTAATCCACCTATTCATTCGTTACACAGCTACTCCCAATTTGTTTCTATCTGAAACTCACCTCTAAAGTTTACAGCCTAATCCTGCAGTTTGCACAGTTGTACATTGTGTAGCCTCAAGATGTCCTGCCGAACTAGGACACAGTGAGCAAGGGCCCCCTCTACTAAAAGTCAATGGCATTTTTTTTATTGGATTTTGTAATATTGCAGAAAATTAAATCTGTGGCAAACACAAGATTGCTTTTTAAATGTTGAAGTTAAAAGCATCAATCTGGTGCACGCTGAGCACAAAATGAAGAGATCTATGGATACATCTCTCAACACCCAGATGAAACAGAACTGTAAACAGATTTTCTTTTTCTTTATGGATATTTTACAAATCACTCTCCTTTCAAACTGTATTCTTGTTTATTTATAACAATTTTTTTACTGTCATATAGCATTATACCTCTTATTTTTTATAACTATAATGATCATATCAAGGTGTGCCTTAACCTCACTGAGCTGAGGTTATCAGTCTGTCAGCAGAGAGCTCTCTTCCACCTGGTTGTAGAAACAGTTCCTTATATTTGTTAGCATAGCTAGCTAACCAGATGCTAATAACAACATTCCCCAGTACCGCTCTCTCTCTCTCGCTCAAACAAAATGCGTGCCACACAACACACACACACACACACACACACACACACACACACACACACACACACACACACACACACACACACACACACACACACACACACACACACACACACCCGAGCTTGAGTGACACACAAAGACCAAGAAGTAGTTGTACTGTAATGTAGCATATTATTTTCGATGGCGTTATTGTATGATCATATGACAGATGAGCAAATCGCCACTGGGCTTACAACTAAAGACAAAGCCACGCAAAAAACTGCGGCATGTGTACGGCTCCTTATGTGTAGTGCCATTTTTGAAGTGCTGGAGCGGTGTTCTGGTGCTCTCCGTCAGCACTATACCACGTGATGACACGTTACGCTCGTGTTATGTTCAAGGAACCTGTCCTTAGCCAGGAAAAACAGGCACTTGCTTGTTTAATTCTTTTGCGGTCTAGATTTCTTTAATTTGTTTTCTTTTTTCGTGTGTTTATAAATTACCTCGAGGGCCGTATAAAATGGTCTCGCGGTCCGTATACGGGAGGTTCCCCACCCTTGCTATAAACAAACTGTGCCTGCCAAACACCACCGCTAAGCTAACGACGGCTAATGTTTGGCGTGAGGACGTTAAGTAGTCTCATTAAGCCCCTTGTTAGCAACTGCGTTTTTAAAAAAAAATGTTACACCTAAAAGCTTTGTACATTAGAAGTGGGGTAATTCTCTGAGAAGTTTTATGTCGCAGTACAACAGGCTAAGATCTCCTCAGCTTGTTTTAACCACAGACCTTATTTCAGGCATCTAACCAAAAAACACATTTACAAAAATCATTGACTTTTAGACGAGGGAACCTAAATTGCTAACCCATTTTCTGGTTTGAGGACTCATTCCTGCTCTACTCTGTTGGGAATACACTAAGTTAGAAAGCTGCAGGATGTCCACTTGGTGGTGACTCAGAAACAGATGACTGTACTGTACACAACAGACCTCTTTACAGCAGGACACGACGCAGAGAGCGAGAGTGGTGTCTGTTGGGACAGGGAGGTGAAGGACAGTGCACGTGTGTGTGCGCCAAAGAGAGAGTTAGGGAGATGTCGGAGAGGCTGAGTTGAGGAGGGATGAAGAGTTTAGACGGAGGCAGAGGAGGGAGAGGAGAGGATGAAAGGTGTTAAAGGATGTTTCACACCAGGACACACTGAGTAGACATTTGGAAAAGCGGGGGGAAGAACAGAGATCTGACAGAGAGGCCCATCTGTTTAGCCTCCGCGTCACCGGTGTTTATGACTAGGTAGACAGGCCACATCACTTACAGTGTCCAACAGGACCTTTAGAGGCAGAGCTGCATCCTGGACGAAGAAAGTATGCCTGCTGTGACTGGCCTCCATCACCACCCAAAACCCCTTCTACAGTTTAAAGGGGCGCTATTATGTTTTTCTGGGTTTTCCATTTCCTGTAGTGTGCAATAAATATATGTGCATGTTAATGGTCATGCAAATAAACACCCCCCCCGTTCTGAAACACATCGATTGGACTCCTTTGTTTACTTCAGTAGCATAGTGACAACACGTGTTCTATTGGCTAGCGCTCTAACACATTGGACTTGATAGGTTAACAGGCCGGACATCTCTAAGCGGTTGACCAATCACAACAGGGCAGGCCAGCTAACCAATGAGAGCAGGGTGGTGTCTGGTTTCAGACAGAGGGTGAAAAGAGGTGCTGCAGCATAGGCAGTATGAGAAAAATAAAGAGCTTTTTGAATATTAAAGCATGTAAATGTGCACAGTGGAGCCACAAATATGAAAAATTGAAAATTAGCATAATATTTCCTCTTTATGCCAGGCTAGTAACTTAATGTTTAAGATAATGCTAAAATAAAATGCATAATGGTGTTCATATTTCATTTAAACTCAGTTTAATTCAGTATAATGGCAATTTACGTCAGGATTATGTTAATGTTCATACCAGCAATGATCCAGCTAATGGCAGACACATTTTCAAGCAGGACAGATTCTCACTTCGGAATGAAAACTTGAATTAAAGGTGAAGTCCGCCATAATAGGGGAAGATTGCTGATATCTGAACACGACACCCATTCAAATAGCCCTTCTCTCCATTTGTGCTCCTTCAGATTTTGCAAGTTTTATCGTCGCTCTCAGGCTTCCACTGCCTTTCTCTTTATTTGTCCATAGCGTTTCCTTTGCTTCAATAGTGTGGTGTGGCGGATAGGGCTGTATTGAATAGTATAACCCGAATAACAATATGAATTATTAATAATATTTACAAACACAGGACCTGCAGTAGTCCACCTTACCTTCACCTCTCCATCACACACTCTATCACTTAAACACATACATAAATGTCTCTGAAATGGTCAGTCATTAATAAAGTGATATTGAAATAAGACCAGATGTAACAATTTCCAATAATAAAATATCCATTTTTTCATCTTGTGTAATATTCTACTTTGATCCATATTTGTAACTAGATACACACCTTTTATTAACTGACATTCAAAGATTCATACAATTTGAAAATGAACTCTTCTCTCAAATTCGGTTTGCAGTTTAAAAAAACATGTAATTCATTTCTTTTAGGTTTTTCTGTTAAATAATTTATGTGTCCACGTCCACCAGAAGGTAATACCTGAGTACAAAATATACACAGCGTAGGCAGTGCTGGAATTGGGCCGGTACTCACCGGTACGCAGTACCGGCACTTCTGGTTCTGACCCATGGAGTACCGGCACTTCTTGCTCAGTACCGGCATGCTGGCGGTACTCCGGTACTCGTGCACCGTGCCAGTACTCAACACTCTCCCGCCGTTCTTATTATACATCCATATATATATATACAGCCGCCCGGTACTCAGTAGATGCGTCATGAGGTGCCGAACGGACATTCTCATCGCTCTAACCGCTGGAGTTTCACAGCGGCTGTCAGCTGTTTACTCCTGTCATTCAAACAGAAGGTGCTGGAGAGGGGGCGGGGCTTATCTTCTCCATGTAAATACTGTGGTGGAAACGACTATGTCAAAATTAACCTATTTGACCGTGATTTAATAGTAATACACGTTTCAAAATAATAATAATAATAATAATAATAATAATAATAATGCCGAAGTAACAACATACTGAAAACTGTTAGTAAAACCATGTTTTAATGCTTTACAATTTACATACCTAGATGCACGTGTGTTGTGTTTATGCAGTGCAACTCCCACCCAGTGGGTGGCTATGTAGAGTGATAGAACAGAGCAGGCACGCCCCCGAGAGAAGGAAAGCAAGTCACGTCACAAATTAGCATTTCTAAAATGTTAGCGTGGATTAATAAAAGTGCAAAAAGACAGCGGTTGTCGCCGGAAGAAACTTCAAATACAGAGAATGCTGTGCCTGTGTTGGAAATTGTGTCTGATGGGGAGCTTTCTTTGGTTGATCCTCCTGCTCCAAGTTCTAGTGCATTAGCATTAGCACTAGCTCCGCCGCCTCCTCCAGAGCCTCTAACGTTAGCTGCTGCTGGCGCAACTGCCACCACCAACACCGGGCAAAGCGATGCACCTGACTGCTGGACAACGGACCAGGTGCAATATTTTTGCAAGACCAATGCATGGCTCCTTCTTAAAGATAAGAAGCTAGGATGTCGGATATGCAGAGATGTCAAATCTTTGGGAATACACACTGGACAAGGACTGAAACTGTCAACTGAATGGGGTTAGTGTGCAGTGTCTCATTTCGGTGTTGACAAGGGCAAACAACAAGCTAGCCTGAGAAAAAAAATCAAAGAACATAAAGAATCACAAGCCCATGTAAAAGCTGCTGACATCCTTACATCTGCTTCACGTGAAACTATTCAACATCAAGTGCAGTCTATGCATAAATCTGAATTAGACACCACTATCAGAGTTTTTCGAACGGCATATACAATTGGCAAACATAGCCGGCCATTCACAGACATGCCAATTGATTTGAATGTACAGAAACTGAATGGGCTGAACGTGGGCAGGGTTTTGCACTCCAATAAAACCTGTGGCGAAATCATCGACCACATAGCTCATGAGCTGAAGAAAAAAATGGCAAAAGACATTACAGAAAACCAAAGAAAACTCTGTGTTTTGGTCGATGAATCTACCACTATTAGTGGTAAAACGGTGCTTGTTGTGTGTCTACGCTCAGCATTAGCTGATGCTGAGCCCGAAACGTTTTTTTGGGAGCTGATCGAGTTGGATGGAACAACGGCTGATGACATCACAAAGGCGTTAATGGAGTGTCTTGGAAGAGATTTTAACGAGGACTTTTTAGGTCAGTGTTTCGTTTCTTTTGCATGTGATGGGGCTTCAGTCATGCTAGGGAA